ACGTTAAACCCTGGTCATGTCTACAATAACATGTGAGCACTACGGATACTGTGTGCGGTGCTGTTTTGGAGCATAATATACGTAGATCACAGTATACATGTACTATATGTTGCTTCGCTTCGAGTAGAAATTCTAAGCCCACCGCAGCGCAGCGGAGGTGGTCGGCCCTCTCTACACCAACCAACCATGCCCTAGCGTCCGCGGAGCGGGCGCCCAGAGCGCTAGTTTCCCGCCACCTAAACTTGCAGCCTGTCCGTCCGTCCGTCTGTCAATCAGTCCGTCGTTTTCCTCTCTTCCTGCTTTTGCCTGCCTTTTCGCATGGCTACACCCGGCCTTTGTAATACAGTTTCCTCCCATCCTACCGACCGCGCCTACCTTTCTGACTCGACCTAACTATGCCAAAATTACAAATATATCCAAAAGCGTGACGCAATTAACTCGCGCCTTGATTGGGCAATACCGACCGACCTGCGACACTGACTGGATCTGTCGCACGATCAGACCGTCTATCGCCCTCGCGATTGGACGTAAGGTAAACATTTATGCCGAGCACGAAACGCATCGATTGGATGCAAACAGCCAGCAGATACTTGATTATTGCGCAAAACCTGTCGTATGTACTGCAAATCGGGCACAGTAACCACTTTATTTTCTAAGAGCTCTGCACACACCTCACATAGAGATATTTGTCATTATTAATGTAGACTTCACAGACCAGTATTTTGTAAGAGCTCAGGGATGTTATTTTCCAAGTAAAGACATTATTAATAGTATTAATATTATTAATATAAGCTTCACAGACCGCATTTGTAAGAGCTCGGCGATGCTATTTTCCACACACATTCTAAAGTAGAGACGATAGTATTTTTAATATTAAAGTAGACTTCACGACCAGCGCTTTTTGTAGCGACTTTGCGAATATATATCTTTTTTACTTCACTGACACTCACCACTGCCACCGTGCAATGAAGGCGCGCGGCTGCACGGTCATTGCGCTATCTGCTCCCGTGCACCCAACCCGACGAATGCATGCGCGCACGATAGATAGTTGTTTTAGTCAATTTATATTGCATGTAAAGTATGTTTTTGTTTGGAAATCTGATAATAATATATTATAGCAAAGCCAAAACGTTAGTATCAACTTTTTAATATGTTTCTAAATAATAAATACCAGCCTTATATTTCCAAGCTATTGGCTAATATTTGGACGCAAGTAATTGGTTAAAACAAAATATTTTGCTAACATACGCACAGTTTGAAAAATGGAGGGCCCTACGTGCAAGCAATGCGAGGCGAAGATTGACCCGCTTCTGCTGAACCCGCAGCGGTCTACGACGGACCCCCGAGCGCGCTGCGTCTGCTGCGGGAAGCTGTAGTACGGCTACGCATTCCGTACAATCAGCGGGCGGGACATCGTGCGGCGCTGTATTGCCTGCGAGAACGGCCCAAAAAGCGGTTGAGTTTTGGGAGGAAAAGCCCCCACCACCTGATTCGGCCGATGTGCGCCGCCAGGAAAGCCTGGCGAACGTCAAGAAGGCGATGGGTCCTGACTGGTACCCCAAGAAGAAAAAGAGGCGCAGCCGCCCTCGCAAGCTGACCGCCCGAAACGCCAATTACATCGAGCAGAAGAGCAAGTAATTTGTATATCCTTATTGCCCCCGTTACCCCGCTTATCTTTGTATTTTGTATACTGGCGGGCGGCGCGAGGCTTGGGGCCGCACATATGGTAAACTAACTGTGGTGCTGCCAAGCATCTACGGAGTGTAGCGCGTTTCGTATAATAATTAGCGCATGGTGTCTACTGTGTACCCTTGCGAGCTGGCCGTTCCTATCTGCATACGCGTTACCGTAGATGGAAAGTACACTTGCTCACTTGGCACACGCAAACCCATGCTATATGTACCACCAACCCTCACAGTTTATATTTCACTAATGTGCGCTCACGAATGTAAGCTTCAGTATAGAGTGAGCACTATGCACCGACCAATAAGTTGCTGTCGACATAGACACAAGCACGTCTATGGTAGTGTTGACCATACAGGTGTCGTCGCAAGTCGATGTGCCTGTACGCAGTACTGTATTTTAGTTTCCTGTGTATAATGGTCGAGACGAGAGTCCGGTTGAGTCGCGAATGATTATAAGATGTACCCGCCGCGCGCATATTTCGCGTTGACTACTACCTACATACGCGCGGTCAGCTTGCCTGTATCACCGCGGTTATAACCTACGTCCAGTTAGTGGCGCGCTGGGCATATAGACTGATCCATCAGAAGTGTAGGCGCAGAAAGCTAGCACCACGATTACACGAAGCGATAAAGAAACAGTGACCCCATGCATAGGTTGAACTATCACGAGCGCGTGGCAAATACACTCATTAACGACCTTGCGATATATGCACGGACACATCAAAAAGCACGCCGAGCGGATAAGTAGGCAGCGAAAGTACTCCATCTAATGTACATGAACTATTATTCAAATCAAGTCTAAGCCTCACTACGAACTGATAGCCATATATCTTCGTATGTTTGTCGTACATATCGGACCCAGTATAATGTCAGTCGGAAAGGATTTACGCCACTTTGTCAGTCAGTAGCTATGCCAATAAGTCAGAAAGTACGTCAGCTATGCAAGTAAGATAAATTCATGCGGAAGATAGTGGAAATACCCTTCAGTAACATCACAAACAGCTCAGCAGAATAATTTCAAAGCATAATATCGATGTTTGTGGCGACCATCGGCAAAAACTACCTATCCTAAAAGATACTTCGCGCGCGGAGCTGATTAACATTGCTCTATTCGACCGTCGCAATCGGTGATATGTGTCGACTGCCTCACGGCGATGACGTGCAGATGGAAATATGATTGAGTAGGCGTTTTTACGCTCAGCTACACTGGGATTCCTCACCGATCTACGCATGTTTCGTAGCATCATTGATACTGAGCCGTCTTCCGTACAGCATATACTAGCGGTTGCAACCACGCGCGGCCTCCGATTCGTGACATTTTGGGAGCTATGCGCTCAAATGAGATTATAGACAAAACCCTCCCGGCTAAGATGGTGCTCATCTTGCAGATCACGATAAACCCTGGTCATGTCTACCATAACATGTGAGCACTATAGATACTGTGTGCGGTGTTGTTTTGGAACGTAGCATAAGTAGATCACAGTATACAAGTACGATATGTTGCTTCGCTTTGAGTAGAAATTCTAAGCCCACCGCAGCGCAGCGGAGGTAGTCGGCCCTCTCTACACCAACCAGCCATGCCCTAGCGTCCGCGGAGCGGACGCCCAGACCGCTAGTCTTAAACATCTACTGCAGCAACCTGTCTGTCCGTCACACTAAATTGTCGTGCCTGTCACGCTTTTCCGGACAAATCATTGGATAAAATAATTTAAATATTCCTACTGGCTGCCGAGCGCAGCGAAGGTGGCCTTAATTGGTTAAAACTAGAATGTGTAGTTGACATCAATAAATGCATGTGTTTCCCAGTTTACATATGGGGATTTGCACAAAGCTAATACATTATCCGAAGGCGGCATCGTTTTAATATTATATACTTTTCATAATGCATTTAAATTTGAGTACTAAACGGAGAGCAGGGTGGTACATGTAGCGTACACGTAAGCATGCGTGTTTCCGAGGACATGGTTTAAGTATACTCAATACTCAGTACTTAGTAGGATCTGCGAGTTACACTGACTAAAATGATAATTTCAATTTTTTATTGTAAAAATATTAGCATTAATAAGCTATCTGAGTGGGTTTCTGGTATTGCTAAATCGTACATGTTATATGTACAGCAGTAGCCGGTCGTGTGGACTGGCCGTGAGAACAAAGCTGTACTGTTAAACGTTGTCACTTGATCCACAAAGATAGATAGTTTTAGATTGACGTGTGAGCAAAAAGAAGTTATATGTGCTGATGACAATTACTACTGTATTTTCCTAAGCGTTTCTTTAACAACAAAATTCTGATACTTCTTAATAGGCAGACGCGTTCCCGACAAGGGCGTAGAATAAGGTTTTACATGCAGCGGTAAGATAAAAACACATCATGGTTATTATAAGTAGGCCCTTAAAGAGACGTTAATCAACTAAGAGCCTAATCTACGTTTAACCATCCTGGAATCATCGTTTAAGTATCAAATAAAAATACCGCCGTCAACAACAACAGCAGCAAGGCGTCGTGCGACGCATCGTTATATCCAAAGGCTATAACCATAACAGGCACAGATTGGAGTGTCTAATGACTAATTCTGAATCAGCACAAAATGAACACACTTTAATACATAAGAAAATGCTACAGCTTGAATATTTTTATTAAATATTCAAACTGTAACACTTTTAATTTTCTTTCAAAGGAGCGAGTTTGGTATGCAAAGTGGCTAATAGTCAGTGTATTACAAGCTTATCCAGGCAGTACAAGCGGGTATTTGATGCAAGCTGGACAGATATTCTTTGCATTGTTGCAATCTTGGTTTCAGAAACGGCCCGTGAAATCGAGCACGACGCTAAACTAAATATATTATTTAGCGTTTTTAGACTGAAGTGCAGGTGGAAGATTAAGGTACAGTGATCGCCAACAACAATAAAGAGACTTTGCCAAGATCACTAGCGTAATCGTTTATGAGCATGGTAAGTATGATGCTAGGATCTCAGTCTTTTGTACCGATAGACATATTTTCACGCCTTACTGGGAACTCAGCATTTTGTAGCAAATGAAACGCAGATTTATGAAATGAGAGAAGTCGATTTAGGCACACGGGGGACTCAGAGGATTTGGACTAATTATCCCGCCGAAGCGAAGCGAAGGCGGGAAGGCAAAAATCTAAAGTAAACCTAAATTACCGCCGCGTAGCGGCGGCGCTCGGCTAGTAGCTAGGAAAACAATGTTGAGTCCGCCGTCTTGCCGATTGTTTTACGATTGAGACAGCTGCTCACCCAACACAAACTTTGTCGAAATCTTTGCGTGCCAAAATTAAAAGAATACTCAAAGAAAAACAATTACAGCAACAATTTCCACTTCATCCATCCCACTGGATGCCCATTTTTACCATTTCAGTTTAACCCGGTCTGGTTGTCCTGTGCTAGTGAGACAAACTCAGAAGAAATTTTGCAGTTGCTGCTGTTGATCTGGTGCACGAACCACCCTGAAAAAGCATTTTGCTTCAGCTTGTCCATCACTCTGTTACTTGACTAAAATTCCCTTCAGCAACACGACGAGTCATCGACAGTCTGCTGCGCGACGCTTATCTGGCGCGCTGGCGCATTTTTCGGCGCTTGCGGCGAAGACGACGCATACGTTTCTTGCGCCACTTGGCACGCATACCACCGTTCACAGACAGCAGCATCTTGAGCGTGTCGCACTCGCCGACGGCGTAGTCAGCGAGCGAACCGCTCGTCAGCTGCTTGCCGGCGCAGACCAGACGGAAGTTCTGGATGTACTCCACGTCCTCGACGGCCTGCTTGACTGACGCCACCGAGGCGTCCGCCGCCACGCTGAGCGTGAGCGGGGAGCCCGATAGGGTCTCCACAAAGAGCTGCATTATTCCCTCCTGGATGCTCAGATGCTAGAGTCACGAAAAACGAAGAGGTCAGTATGGCATTGTAGCCATTGACAAAGGTTGTAGCAGCAACGCACCCGAAACGGTGTTCCAAGCAGAGCAGTCAGCAGAAAGTGAGACCCGCTGGTGTCGAGCGGTTGGAGCTTGAAATGCGGATTAAATAGTTGGCCACGGGCTTGTAAGCATGTTTAACGTCAAATTGGTAAGGATAAACTACCGCATATGAAAGTTAGAAAGAGCGGATAAGAGAGGATACCACTAGAAAACCCTCGCATTGGCTGGTAAGCTACTGACCAACCAAAATGATACCGTGTGCGCCACATCTATCTGTGTTTTTTACACACCTCGAAAGGCATTCAAATGAGGGATTCCAGTGTCTTCAACTTGTCTGTCATGTGGAAATTGTCATTGAAAATGAGAGCTCGTGTTCCAACCTACCATCTGTGAGGTCCTGACAAACTGTTTTACACTACCAATCCAGCTTCACATTGGTGTACATTAAACTCAACACTGCAATAAATCCCTTTCCGACTAGAAGTGGTAGAACTTCGAACGCAGGCTCACTTGCTGCCATCTCTCCATTGGAGAAGTGTCTTCCACGCTACAAGGTGCTGACTTAGTGTCAAATATTTTATTCGATCTGGACATTACTGCATAGCCGTTTTTGACCTGTTGACCTTGGTTTCCATGGTAACGTTTTGGCCTTGTTACCGACAGCAAGCCGCACGTTTGATCAGAAGCGTTCAAAACCTACAATAAAGCAGCTACGCAACGCTTGCATTAAGTAGTTGATCAAATTTTGCCTCGAGCTGCTGCTCTGGTGACAATATGCCTTGTCGTTCGAGCTCTTTCATGCGTTCTCTCTCCTTGGCGTTCAATGCGGCGATGCGTCGCTTATTACGAGTGCTTAAGTCATCGCGCACTACACGCTTCATGCGCTTGAAAATGTCTGGCACTGTGTGGGTATGGAGAAAGCGCAGTGGATCGGACATTGGGGCGAAGTGTTCTCCAAGTACATTTCGCCCTACATAACGCAAAAACATCTCACTTAGCTTACTGTGGTGTAAAAAAAAACTACCCAGCCAGACATACCCGAGATTTGAGCGACGCCATGTATGTCGCGACGGAACTCGAGTGGATTCTCTTCGAGTGTCGTGAGCTGCAGGTGTTTGGGAATGAAAACCCCAGTGAATTCACGGATCTCAGCAAGTCTGAGATTCTCAATCTGTTCTCTCAGTTTTGTTTGTATCTCAACGTGTGACGTTGAATGAACTAGCCGCTTAAGGTCTTCTTGAACATGAACTGAACTCGCTTGGGTAGCTGACACTTCTTCTTCGTCATCGTCTTGAGCTTTTCGCTCTCGTTTCAGCTTAATTCTCCCTCTTGTTGCATTCTTCTGCAAACTAACCTCGTCTGCGGCCCGCAGCACACGCTCAAACGGAGTTACTTCACTCTCATTCAAGTAGATGTCGAATAAGTCACCTGATGTCTCGGCTGTCAAGGAACTCGCCCTCTCCACCGCCACAACCATGCACAGCAGTGTGTACGGAGTCTCTCGCACGACGCCATCGCTGCGAATCGCAGCATCCAGCAGCTGGGGTGACGCCATCTCCAGCAAAATATACCGAAAAAGCCTCAACTAGTAACCAACACTGGCTGAACGGAGTCAATTTGCCACTGGCAACAAACCCAAAGTTGAAGGCAACTTCAATTTGCCTATTTCAGCTAAAATGTGCATGCAACATACATTTGAATGTACTAAAATGCCACAGCACATATATTCGTAATGCAACACGTTGACTAATGGCTTTCTTGGCTTGGGAAAGTGGACGGGGAGGCGTATAGATACTTTTACGGTCCATGCGAGTTGCATGTTTTGCCTCCCTCGCTCAGCTCCAAGCCATGAACTAATTGAGTAGCTTCCTTCACTTTTCTCTTGAGTCAAAAGTTGTTTACACGCGCTTGGGTCTGCGGCTTGCATTCGCCGCATTCCGCTGCTGCTGCTCCTTCTTGAGTCGCACCTGCTCGAAGCGCTTTTCCAGATTGCTCATGGACTGGCCCAGCGAGTCCAGCTGGTTCGAGTGTTCGCCGAGTGTTTCGAACATGACACCCTGTTGTGCTGCGAGTTGTTGCTGCGTCTCTGTTGTGCGCGCCAGCAGGTTCATAAGCATGGAGCCCATGTTGCCCAGTCCTCCCTGTCCCTGACCCTGGGCTTCAATGGCGGTACTTGTAGCTGCTGCCGCCTGTGCTGCTTGAACGATCGCACCACTCTCAGCGGCTGTGGCTTCGGAGCTAGGCGCAGGCTCCGCCACAGGCTCGGGTTTGACCGGAGCCGGCGGTAGTTGTTCCCTGAGTGCTGTCTCACCCGCGGGCTGTTCCGTGCTGCCCTGTGAGGTTGGGGGGGACACTATTTTCCGCTTGGGCGGTGCGGAATTGGACCGGGAAGTGGGTGCGGGCTCCGGTAGGGCGCCACCATTGGCAGCTGCCATGTTTTTCAGTCGCTCGTCCATGTATTTGAGTACTTTGGCGGCAATTTTGTGCAAAATCTTGGCGTCCACATTGTGGTGGCTCTTGACGTCAAACACAAAGACCGAGCCGATGCAAAAGCCGTTGGGCGTAGTAATTGGTACACCAGCGTAGAAGCGCACGGCCGACGCGCGCGTAACCAGGGGGTTGTGCTGGAATCGCTCGTCCAGTGATGTGTCCTCGACCACCAGTGCGCGCTTGGCGTGCATGATGGTGTGCGCACAGAGCGCCACGTCGCGCGGAATCTGGCGCTGCGTGAGGCCGCTGTTGGCCTTAAACCACTGCTTCTGCTTGTCAATGAAGCTCACGGCCGCGATGGGGCACTTCATCTCCTTGCACGCGATGCGACAGAGCTTGTCGAACTTTTCATCGGGCTCCGAGTCTAGAATGCGGTACCGTGTCAGCTCCTCGAGACGAGCCTCCTCGTTCTTGGGCGTAGGGGCACGTGGCCACGGGTGCTTCCAGTCGAAATTGAGCGAGTACCCATATTTGCTGCTCTGTTTGCTGCTCTGTGTTGCCATTGCTGCTGTTGACGTAAGTGACTGAGGTAAGACACGCACGCACGTGCAATCAACTTCGAGCGGAAGTGTAGACGGCGGTGGGGACTTTGGAATGTGAAGCGCTGCCGAGGACGGCGGTGGGGCCTGACCCACAACCACGCGGAGGGAAACGAGGCGACGACTCGACGACTGGTCTGGACTTCACCGGGTGGCGATGAAAGGGGATGTGCACGTCGAGGCCCGTCCAATCGGCGAATTTAGCTCGACAAGCGTATTTGTCTTGACCAATCACAGACGCGCACAGGCATTCAGTTCGCACTTCAACACCGAGTTCCATGGAGTGTCTTTGGACAGCCTGAAGTTGAAAGGCGTCTTCGTCGCCGCATAGTGGGGGCAAGTCAATGGCCAGCGACGCGACGCCCGTAGCACTCATCGAAGGAATAGCAAAGATACGCGTCTCGACACGAAAATGGTCATTAGAACAACTCGTTGTCGTTCTGAAATCAAGGCGGGGCGGAATATCCACCCTGCGTCGTCGACAGTGGTTACAGAACTATACTGTACACGTCAAATGCTATGCTGTTTGCCATACTGTCCTCTGCTCTGATGCCAGCTGCAATGGTCTGATGAAGCTGTAGGCAGGGGCCGGGAAGTAACACTCGCCACTTGTCGGAAGGTTGGCAGCACCCCCGCATTACGCCGCGGTCCGAAAGGACGCCGATTCTTGGCCACGGGGGCAATGGCGAGCCGAGCCGGAGGAAGTGCTCGCACTTCCTTACGATGGGCTTGACCTTCGAGGCGTCGTACAGCTCGTTGATCGCATCAAAACATTCAAATTTTGCTTGGATTTCAAACTTCCGGGGGTGTCTCCGAGCCTGGCTTCCGTGTTAAGGAAGCGTGGCTTCCTGTAGTCGTCCACGCCGTTCCAGTCGATTCTAAGGTGCAACTTTACTCGTCTCCAACGTAACGCGCCCAGCGGCAAAACCATGTGGACTGTGGACTGCAAGTGGGCCGTCACTTGTCAAACCGTCTGTGTCTCGCTGCCGATATCGCCGTTATAGTTGACCATCCGAGCTCAAACAACGCGGGAACCAGACTGCCCGTAATTAGCTTCATGCCAGTGTTTGCCAGCGCCAATCCAACAAGTTCAAGTCGTGCCGTTTCGAAGCATGATGCAGTGAGTCACTCACACACTCGCCGCCCAGAAGATGCCAGTGTCGTGCTCTCCATTTCATAGCCAGCTGATACAGTACTTACATAACTTGCCGACGGCAAGATCACGGTGACTGACATATTGACACGCACTCACCAAGGTACAACTTTGTGTTCGGGTACACAATAATTAGCTTGTGTGGGTACAGTACACAAAATAATACGTAATCACGTGGAAGGTTGTCGCGCCAAATGCCAGTCAATCAGTGACGTCAGCAGAAGCAGAGACCGTCGGAGCATATCGCACACAAGCCGACTTACATGGGGAACATCAACACGCACCTGCAACGCCGCTCACGACTCTTCCTGGCGCTGTTGATCGTGTACCTGGGCCGCAAGGCTCTCGGACGCTTTATCCTCTCGTTTCTCCTGCGTTGGCGCTCCGGCGAGACACCACGATTAGTGCACCGAGCCACGGACGGCAACAAGAAGCTGCTGTCACATTGTCCTTCCATCAGTGCGTGGACTAAATTTGCACTTTATTGGACCCATTTTAACTAACCTTCCCATTTTTTCCGGTTGCAAATTCTCAATTTCCAGCGAAAAGCAAGTATTACCCGCCATGGCGTCTATTTAACGGACACCTTCAGACTGTGCGCTTCGCCTACGATGAACGTGGACCCGAAATCAACTATAAGCGTCAGTTGCTGAAGCTACCCGACGGTGGTGTCGCGTCTTTGGATTGGGCGCTTTTGCATGACCAAAACGTACCCAATACAGCGACGGATCTCAACGCATCCGCTTCATCTTCGTGGCTGCCGGACGTGGAGTCCACGCGGCGTACAGTGATCGTGTTGCCAGGACTCACTGGCGGTAGTCCAGAGAACTACATTCGCACTACAATTGCGAAGTTGCATAAGTTGGGTTGGCAGTGTGTGGTGCTGAACGCCAGAGGATGTGCCAACACCCCAGTGACCACAGCGCAACTCTTTTGCAGCGCGTACACTGGTGACCTCCGCTACGTGCTGCAACAACTGAGTGAAAAATATCATTTCGCACAAGAAGCTTTCGTGGCAGCTGGATTTTCTATGGGAGCCAATGTGCTGGTCAAATATTTGGGTGAAGATGGAGACCAAACGCCGTTAACAGGCGCCGTCTCGGTCGGAAATCCCTTCGACTTGACGATCTGCTCGGCCAACTTCGGTGGTTCGCTGCTCAACCGCTTGACGTATGACAAAGCACTCAACAGCAACCTTCGCGAGCTCTTCTTCGTCCAGGTATGGCACTGTTTTGGTCATTTTTTCTTACTACTTTTTCTTTAACAATTGTGTTGAATAGTGCGATGCCGCGAAACAATTTGAGAATTACCCAGGCGTGGACTTAGAGGCGATCAAGGCGACGCGCACAGTGCGAGACTTTGACGACACACTTACCAAGCATGTTTTCCACTACGACACGGTGGACGACTACTACAGCGACGCGGGGTCAGTCAAGAAGCTGGGAGGAGTGCGAGTGCCGTTGCTATGCATTAATGCGGAAGATGACCCCATCAGTATCAGCGCCGCTCTACCCAAGGACCACGAAGTGGAAGCCAACCCTAACATCATTCTGTGCACAACCAAGTCGGGTGGTCATTTGGCATTCTACGAGAGTTCCCTCAAGCAACAAAACAAGGAAGACTGTAAAAACGTAGCCAACATGTGGACCGTGAACCCCATCGCCGAGTTCGCGGAGGCTGTGCGGCTAAACAAGGTCGAAGCTGTTGCCTAAGCGACTTCAGTAATGCAAGATAACGTGTACATAATACCCGCGTCAAAGTTTATTTTTTTGTATTATTTCGTTGCTTATTGGCTCGTTGTTGTGCTTGACGCAGTTGCAGAAGTAGTGCGAGACACGAGCTCTAAGATACTTTCGTTTGGTATAGCAACACCACTCACGATGGTTGGATACCCCACGAGCGTCCACACCTTGTTCCCGGTCGGTATAAAAGGAGGCAACGATCCAATCCAATGTCCATACGAGATCGTCCATGAGGTGGACGCTGCGCTGTCAGCTGAGACTTGGATATCGTCGTACTGAATGAGTGCACGAAGAGAAATTGCCAAGGAATCAGCATCAGTGGAGATCGACAAAGTGACGGTAACACCATCACGGACAAGTGACAACGGGATCTTTAAGTCCGCAAGGCTTGGAGACGAACCGGTGTAAATAAGTTTTTGCAGTTTTCGGGTCGGTGAAATGCGCAAGAGACGACCACGATGAAGACAAGACGCGAGCTAGTGCGAGTGGACAAGCAGTGCGGCTGTAGCAAGCGCTGGCATTCACCAGTTTACGCCACGACGCACCATTGACATCCACGCTTGATACGCCGTTAGCGATCGCTGCGGGAAGGCACGAGTTTACACCTGCTTCGAATGAGAGTCTGGTTCCTATCTGGTCCCTTTCAATATCGCATCTGCGAGGGAATCGGACGAAGTGGAAGCATCCGTAGCAACTGTGATCGTGGTACCACTGCTTTGTTGCATGACACAATCTGCCATGGCTGCACATTTGGCATCTCGAAGACACACGTCCAGTGCCAATCTCTTGCATTCAACGCAGGTGTCAGTTGGAGTAGGCTCTGTAGTCGGCGCGAATGGAATTGGACGAGTGGATACATATTGAACACGTAAACTTGGGGTTGTTACAGTAGTGAACGCTGCGGTAACCAGTTGAGTGGCATCACTGACAAACGTCGTAGAAAATGTCAATAATTGTTGCCCCTGCAGTGTTCGACGTCACATTGACTTTGACAGTTCTCAAATATTTGGCAAATGTACACGATCGCGCAATCTTCGTCTCCAATGATGCAACAGTGGCGTTACTCCACACAGGTATATAACAGACCACGCGGTTTCCGATCGCTACCGAGATATTCAGCGGCGAATTAGTTGTTGCAGGGAAGTTGGCGATGCCTGAAGCTGGCTGTATACGCTGTTGCCCTTTGCCACTTCCCCATACAAGATTAATGCCCGACGGAGCCACGATACTGGAGCTTAGTGACAGTGGACACAATCGCCGTAATTGACACCAAATTGCGCTGGTAAATAACATGAGATGGTTCACGTCAACTGGGGCTGTTGCTGTAGCAGTAAGGCAGAGAGGAAAGGTCCTCCGTCTCAGTGGCAGTTGAGGTCTTAAAAACCAGTTGAGCGATCGGATTCTGGATGGCTGAAAACAAACAAGTTTTCAGAGGTGCACACCCGGGTTCGTTCGCACGGCAATGTGCGCAGCCATCAGCAGATTTTTCCGTGACTTCTGCAATCCCAAACTCGAGATGCAGCAACAATTTGTTCACTTTGTCTGTGGCTCCGTTGCGCAACAAGCGGCTTTGATGACGAACCACGACGTTCAATGGACTGCTACTCGAGCTGTTGGCTGATCGAGCGATACTTGTGACAGTAGACTCGGCATCTCCTGACGAATGCAGGGTGACGGCTACCTCAACTTTCACAAGTGTAGAGTTATCGTCCGTACTTCGAAAATTAAGCGCCATGTCTAATTTTTCCGGAGTTGCAGCCTGTAGAGTCCAGAGTGGGGTCGATGTGTTGCCTACCTTCACTATCGGAGCTGGTAAAGTTGCAGAAATTGCTGTATCATCGGTGAAAAAGGAAATGGAAGGGAAGAGATTCCACGACACTGGAGCAATAGACTCTGCACTTTCCAGCCAGAATTCTTGACTCAATGTGTTCGCCCAATATACTGTGGTAGTGAAGACCCCAGTGAGATCCTTACTTAGGTTGACAGTCGAAGGATACGCCACGTCAGTCGGTATTGCAGTAGTATATCCTTCCGGGTCGTATTGGAAGCGCTGTGTCTTACGACGCTGCGCATTCATTGCGTCTTCCGAGATTGCAGCCAACAGGGTCGCAGTATCAGCTACAGCATCTGGAAGAGCTGGGTTCCCACGTGGGAAAACATCGACGTTCAAGTATCGAAACACGTACGGGATAAGCGTCGAAGCGAACAGTTGAGAGCCTGCTAGAGCGTGGGATTTTAGAGCGTCAGATAGCTCGTCTATAGCGAAAATAAAGTCCAGGAACGTGGCAGGACGCGTAGTACCGACCTCACTCGTTACTAGACGTGTGAGATCTCCATACAATAAGCGATTTGCCAGCGCTTCACGACTCTGCATCGACGTGTCTGTAGTAGTAGGAAAACGTAGATAGAAAGTCTGGTTCACCTGCAATGTCGAGTCCGTCGCAGCCGTACTGGAAGATACGTGCGACATGTTGAAGTCTCCACCTAGAAACTCGGCTACTCCTCGTCGCACTTGAAACACCACACTTTGTGGCAACTTTGCGGGGTCCTTGACATTCCGGAATAGAACACTGAAGGTTAAGAACGCTGTCGTTGGAGGTACCGTCGTTCGAATTGCAGGAGCTGACTTGTAATGTGCCAGAACTTCCGTATTATTGAGACTTTGACAGGTTACAGCGTTGCTTTGAAACGCAGAGACAACCTGCCATAGCAGCTCTGTTGCATTCCTGGCTACCGTATCCGAGACCAAAGTTTCCAGACGTTTACCCAGCGCAGTGGCAAGTCCCATCGTGTTGAGAACTGGAGGTGTAGTCGACACGAAAGCTTGTGTGGGGTCCCCAATCAGGAAGAGCACTTCGTACGTCGCTTGACTGACACTGTCGATGAAAGTTGCATTGCGAACACTCAATACAGTGACGGAGTCAGTCGAATAGAAGATTTTTGTGCCAGCAACAAGAGCAGGTTCCATGTGCCACGAGGGACAGCAACAACGCAAACTTTCTCATCTTTGGAAACGTCGTGCAATCTTGTAAAGCGCCGGGTGACCCAATACATGACCCAAAATTTACAATAGATTATCGTAACTTAAAAATGGCACTCCTCAATATATATAGTTGCCTCTGCAATTCGAAATCAACTTTTTTGCTTCCTCTCGCCACTACTGGCCGATGATAAATTGCTGGGTTCGCGGTGTTCGTGGTCCGAGTTGTCGCCGCCCAGTACTGGCGTGGAAATGTACGTGAACGTGTCGAACATGTCGAGGTCGATGGTGTAGCGTCCCGTCTCGCTCGAACGGATGTCGGTCTTAGTGTCCTCCTGTTTACTGGCCTTACTACTGCTGCTAGGACCTCGTGCTGAGCTGGAAAAAGAGCTTAAAAGAGACCGACGCCAGTCCAAGAGCACCGGCTCCAGCATTTCCAGCACAGATCGACGCATCGACTGGTCTTCCGGTCGATCGACACTTAAGCGATGTTGATGATACTCGTGGATCATTTCCAGGTGGTCCAGAGCATCGATAGGCAGCGTATCGCACCGTTCTGGGTTCATCTTCCCGCGTTTATTCATTGAGCTGCTACCAAATGGAGACTCGGGCACTTGTTCGGATACTTTGTCGCCTTTACCTCGATTGCTGCCGGTTAATTGGCCCCCTGGAGTAGCTGCGAGCACGCCACCTGCACGTGTGTGAAGCCCCGTGTTGTCTTCGAACCACGAGGCATCGATGTCTCGTCCACGCGTCTCTGGTCCCATGAAAAATATGATAGGAAGGAATACAATCGTTACAGCTCCACATCCAGCCAACATCAACCGTTCGTCGTGCCAAGTCCAAGCTTCATCGCCCATTACTCGTCTAAGTACGAGGTAAACTCCCGCGAACATACCCAGATGACCCCACGCTGAAGCACACGAGATACCTAACGCTCGCGTTAAAAGAGGGAATTGTTCCCCCGTATAGGGAATCAACGCCCCGAGCGTCCCTCCCGTAGCCAACACCATCGCTCCAAGTGCTAAAGACAAGCCGAACCACTCGCCATGTTCCTCTAGAAGCCACGCTGACGTCAACATGACAATCCCACCAAACAAAACAAACACCGCTAACGTCACGCGTCGTCCTGCAGTCTCAATGATTGTAGCGGTGAAAACGAGGCCCGGGAAGGTCATTACCGACCAGAAAAGTTGGTCTCTCACTCCGAATCCAGTCCCGATCCCGTTCACTTTTATAAACGTCCCCGCCATCATCAAAGTCGTCACAATTGCCGCGCTAAAACACGTGAGTTCGGCGAACCAGAAGAACCAGATGAGCGTCGTCCGTCGAGCCATAGATCGCGAAAAGAGCACCACTACACGACGGGATAGTGCTCTTATAAACGAGATATCTGCATGACGAGCCAGCGTATACGACGGTGTTCCCGGGTCTCCAGAGCTGGGAGTACACACCTCGACCTGTTGACTCTGTAACCTCCTTCCAGACACACGCTGACTCTGACTGCGTGCCTTGGCAGCGCCAGGTCCCGTGTACTTGCACGTCGATCTTGAGCGTGTTTGTCTTTCGCTCTGTTGCTCCTCGTCCTGTGGTCGTTGAAGTTGCGTCTCCCAGTCCGAGTCGGAGTCGGAGCTCTCTAAGTACCTCTCATAACTTATATGTGGTCTTTGTGACGGAGGTTCATAAAGACTCGTAGGGACCGTCACTCTTGCTTGTCGTGAGATTCCGTGTGCATTCTCAATCTTCTCCACAATGCACAAAGCTTCTTCGGATCGCCCCACACTGGCTAAATATTTGGGTGACTCCTCCAGTGCCAGGTACAAAACTGCGAGAAATAATAGTGCGATGCCACTCAGCACGCCGTACGTGATTCTCCAGCCAATACCCTGTTCAGTACTGGCCAGTTGCCCATATCCGACTCCAGCAAATACCCCCAACCCAGCCATTGACACGGATAATACCGTAATCCGTCCTCGCGTCCGTGTGGGCGTGTACTCCAGTGCCAATGTTGCCAGAATTGCCAATTGGCCGCCAATTCCCACACCGGCCAACAGTCTCAACGCCACAAAAGACCCATAATTCCACGCTCCCGACGTCAAGGCGTTGGCTATGAGCCAAAATGTCAACGCGCTTAGGAGTACTGGTCTCCGTCCGAAATGATCCGCGCAGACTCCGAAGGTTACGGAGCCTAGAGCTCCGCCTAAGAAGTACACTCCCAATAGTAATATTACTTGTGCGGTACTGGTTAGTACAATGTCTTCTTGCGCCGCTGGAAGTGCGTACAGGAAGGTGAAGATGCCCACCATGGCTAAGAGCCAGCCTGTGCCCAAAAGCAGCACCAAGCGCGCGTAGAAACCTGTGAGTCCCGCGTATCGAAGCCATGAACCGAAGAGTGATGGTCGTCGTCGATTAGTCTGCACGGCATCGGGAGGCTGCAAGGTGGACGCGAAGGGCAAAGAGCTCAGTAGGTACTGCGAGTGGTCGTCGTACGTGAGCGCGTCGAGCCGCTGGCGCACGTGCACCAGGAGGTCCGCCTCGGTCATGCCAGGCTATTGGAGTGACATGCGGAAAGGAGTGAATATTTTTTGGGTACAGAGCTATTTTTTGTGAGACGCTCGGCGAAATGGGACTTCACCGAAAAAAAGTGATGGACTGTGCGGTTTTTGCACCGAATGGCATCAACGGTGACGTCCTGATGTGATTCGTGATACCCTGGAAGAAACCATGTGGACCGAGGTAGGTTTCTGGTTATAATTCTTGTATGAATTGATAACACTATGATAACTGAATGATAATGAAAATTTGAGTTTCCGCGCGGGCGAAAATACGTACAGAGGTGTCAAGGCGGGAAGTGCAGGTTGGCAACGGACACCTTTCGGCCCTTCAGCTGCAAACTACCCCATGGTCCATGGGTCTGGTCTGGCCACAGCGCTCGTAGCCGAACTTCGATTCGAAACCATGGATTGCGTTTCTTGGGACCTGCATCGACCACTACTTGCAACTTGCAAGTACTGAAATCAAGCATGGCGTTGCACTTGCAGCGATACGAAGCGGTTGATTGCTGAGCGTTCTCACACACACTCGTTCAGATTCAATGAGGTGGCACATTTAGTCCAGTTTGGACTCCAAAGACTTAGAGGATGAGCAACTTCGACTTGAAAGTCAGGACCATCACTCCGGGTAACTTCAACTTTGTTTTCCACATCAAAATTATCGTTCTTACAACCACGACAAACAGTCCTCTGTCCCCGACAAGAGCTCTATGCCCACAATCGTCTTGGCTAAAGTTTACCTCGAGAGGGCGTCGATGCTGGTGGAGCTTCAGTCTTGAGCAAGCAGCTTTCCCCCGGATACTCGTTCTCGTTGCCGAAAAGATCAAGGTCCGACTCGCTTGACCGATATGCCACTGGCATTGAATTCGCTCGTGCCAGCAAACGTTGTGGCTGCACCGACGGCACCTCCATCACGGAGTTGCACAGCTGACGGCCAAGACGAGGTGAATCGCCCGAATAAAGGTGCTTGACGTGAGCTGTCACAGCATTCAGACTGGACGACAGCGACGCAAAGCAAGAGCTCAAAGCGATCTCCACGCTTGAGCTTCGTCGCCGTAGCTTCACGTTTTCTTCCCAGTCATCATCATCAAGGTATTCCGCCAGAATAGAAGGGTTCTTGTGAGGCAGCTCGTCGTGCTCCTGGAAGCCGAAAATTAACGAAATCGTGGGCGTCATGATTCGAACGCGACAAATGCTGAAATGATCGAAGGCTAAAAAGTCTCTAAGCGAGCGACAGCTCTAGAAGCTTCCGATTGGCCCCGCTCAGATAAACTGAGATGCGCTTAAGTGCTTTTGGACTAGATCGCTTACGGTTTCTGTCGATAGCCTGTCCAACCAGGAATCCAACATGAGCCGAGCAATTATTGTAAGCTTATTAAAACAAAAAGTGATAATTCATCACGAAAGAAACCAGCACATCTCCATTCAAGAAGACCTGCTGCACTGCAGCCTGCAGACCTCCCTAGCTCGTTCAAACCCGGCCACGAACTCGGAAGTGCCTGAGCCAGATGTTATATTTTTCTGTTGCTGTTAATATCTACCCGATAAAACCTGGAGGGACAGCAATTGTCAAGATCGAAGTGTGAGACAATTAAAAGCTCAGACATTTGCAAGTGAAGTGGCTAGAAGTTTCAGTTGTATCTTGTTGCAACAAAGCTAAAATGAAACTGCCACATTGTCACGAAAAAAAAAATGATTTTTTCCGCACTCGTTGTAGTTGCACTCAGAGCTGTCCACTGAAGTTGGCTGCGTCGCCCGGGTTGATGACGGTGCTCCACTTGGACGTAATTTTACGTCTCGTGGAGAAGAACTCGACGCAGCCGTCCCCAGTGATGTCCATGTCGCCGAACTTGCTCTTGGTTCCGTACATTCCACCGAAGCTGAAAGGCTCACGTGGAACTGGGATCCCAATGTTGACTCCAATCATCCCAGCACTGAAACGCGACTGGAAATACTCGGCATAGGCGCCATTGGACGTGTAAATGGCCGCTGCATTGCCATAATCATTGCCGTTCTCGATCTGCAGAGCCTCGTCGAACGTCTCCACGCGATACACCGACAGGACTGGGCCAAAGATCTCGTCTTTCATGGCTGCATCCTTCGGATCCGAGTGCAACAATACTGTAGGACCAACCCAGAAGCCCTTGGCCTCTGTAGACCACGATCGCCCGTCCACCAACACCTTCACACCCGCAGCTTCCGCTTCGTTGATGTATTTGAGCACACGAGTCTTGGATCCGTCGTCAATCAGAGCGCCAACCTGCCCAGCTTCAGTGCCGCGAGTCAATTCCCTCGATTTCTCGACGATCTTGTCGAGTAAAGCCGAGCAATCTCCCACTAGAAGGAGCACGGATGCAGCCATGCAACGCTGGCCAGCACAGCCAGCATAGGACGCCACAATATCCTTAGAAGCCACCTCGACATCGGCGTCCGGGAGAGCGACGAGATGGTTCTTCGCTCCACCCAGAGCCAGTACACGCTTGTCCAAAGCTCGGCATCGACGAGCTACAAGTTGAGCCACACGACTGGACCCAACGAATGTGACAGCAGCCACGTCTGGGTGGTCACATAAGCTGTTGACTGGATCCACCGTCCCGTTGATGATCTAGTAAAAAACTAGTTAAGATAATTTAAAAAAATGTTTTAATTTTAAATAAACGTGCCTGGAAAACACCCTTGGGAACTCCTGCTTCCAGCAACAACTCAGCAACACGCGACATTGTCAATGGAACCTGTTTGCAAAATAGTATTTAGTATCATAAAACTGTATCAATAAATTGTTTTTTACCTTCTCGGATGGCTTCAAGATAACACAATTCCCCATCGTTAACGCGATGGGGATCGTCCACATGGGTACCATAATGGGGAAGTTGAATGGCACAATACAGGCCACAACACCCAGCGGGTCACGCACTTCTTGGCACGTGATGCCTCGTGAGACTTGCAATGTGCGCCCCTGCACTAATTGCGGGAGACTGCAGGCGTACTCGACCGTCTCGTTGCCTTTTAAGACACTGGCGAGCGCCTCGGTGCGGTTCTTACCGTTCTCCTTCACCACAATGTCCGCCAGTTCATCTGTTAAGCCAGAAATTCTTCGTTATAATAAATCCCTCATACAAACCTCGAATTGCGGCCTATTACCTTGGTGCTGCATCATGAGTGCGTGAAACTTGAGCATGATGGCTGCACGGGCCTTGACAGTCAGTTGACGCCATTCTTTAAAGGCTTCTTGGCCCTTAGCCACCGCCAACTTCACGTCTTCGTCTTTGGAAAGCGCGCATTTGCCGATCACCTGGCCAGTCGACGGGCTGATGACGTTGACGTATTTATCGCCCGAAGGAGGCACAAACTCGCCGTTGATCAGGTTATGGGCCGTCAGAGGACCCAACACCTTCTGCTTCTTGCGGGGAGACTCGGGCATGGGGGATTTAGGTCGATAAGATACTGATTAGGATAAGATCTGCTCTTTAAAACGAACTTCAACTTGATTGCTGATGTGGACTACACAATTGTGTGTGTGTGGTCTGCCATAAATGATGCTCGATCATTTATGGTAGTTTAAGTGTCTTTTCTCTGTCTTAGTTAATACCTCAGAGCAGTAATTTTTGGTAATTTTGCACAGGTTTACAGTACGAGGGAAGTAATCTATTTGGGCACGGCCTAAATTTAGTCCGTGCAACCTAAATTTTAGGCCGTGCCCAAATAGATTAGACCGTCGCTTGAGTCGGAAACACTAAAAATACGATTTTGATAAATTCTCAATAATTGTTCTCAGCACACGTCCGTGGATGTTGGTAGATTTCAGTTGTGCGTTCTCGTATCCGTGGCAAATGTCGAGGAAGCCACGTGTAGGGTATCTCCTGGTCTCCCACAACACGAGCGAGTAGACTCTCTTGTCGAAGCCATTGTCAGCGAACTCGAGTGAACCTCGTGGCGATGTGTCAACGGTGTCATGCTCGCCTTTGACATTTGCTCTCGGTGTAAAAGGCGATGCGAGTCGACTCCTTGAGTGCCAGCCACCCGGCGTACGATGCCTTGCCACCGTAGCTCGAGTCCAGCGAGTAGCATCACTGCGTCACGTCAAACTGAAGCTGTCGCCTGCACTCAACGCTGCATCGCAACTCGAAGCACACAACAGGAACAGCTCCAAGAGCGTCAAAGTTGATAGAGTGCAGCCTTTCATCCTCTCAGAATGAATCCAAGAATGGCAATGAGCACACCGCCATCACATACAACATCTAGAAGGTAGGATTCCTACTAGGAAGGTTCTACAATTCTAGAGAAGCGGCAACGGAGAACATGTCGGTGCTGTACAGGTTTATCGAAGACCGCTGATTGCGCCAGTCGTATTCGAGTGCCCATCCGAGTTACCACGTCATTCGTGAAACTCATTGGAAGTGATTAAAGCTATGGGGAACGTCTTCGTGCGCGCTTTGGCTCGGAACCATCAACGTCGTCTCCGCTTGGCATTCGCATTGGTGTTGCTGTATGTGGCCAAGAAACTACTTGGGCCTTCGTTGACGGCAATGCTAGTGCGCTGGCACTTGGCTCGTGCGGGCGAGACACCTCGACTGATCTACCGCAAGACGCCAGCCAACAACAAATTGTTGTCACACTGCGCTACGATGAGTACGTTGATAACTATCAGCTGTGAACTATTGGCTGTCTAACATCCTGTTGTGCGGCTCAAACCAAGTACTACCCGCCACTGAGTCTGTTCAATGGACATCTGCAGACGATCAAGTTCGCACAGGATAAAAGTGGACCGAAGATCGACTACAAGCGTCAACTGTTGGACATGCCTGACGGCGGTGTCGTGTCATTAGACTGGGCGCTGCTACCTGTATACTCGCCTAGAGGTAAAGCAAGCCACGTGGATCCTACGCGACGTACCGTGTTGTTGCTGCCGGGACTGACAGGAGGCAGCCCAGCGAATTATATTCGCTTCACAGTTGCCAAGCTGCATGAAATCGGCTGGCAGTGTGTGGTTCTGAACGCTCGTGGGTGTGCCAACACTCCTGTCAAGACGGCACAGCTCTACTGCACTGCCTACACGGAAGACCTGCGCTTCGTGCTACAAGAATTGGACAATAAATATGATTTTGGACAGGAAGCATTCGTGGGTGTAGGATTCTCCATGGGATCAAACGTGCTGGTCAAGTATCTGGGCGAAGAGGGCGATCAAACTCCGTTGACCGGAGCTGTCTCAGTTGGAAACCCCTTTAACTTGATCAAAGTGTCCGAGAGTTTGTCCGGTACGTATTTCAACCGACTCATGTACGACCAGGCTCTCAACCGCAGTATGAAGACACTGTTCTTCGAAAAGGTACCGTGACTGCTATTAAAACTACGGGTATTACACGTGACACTTACATTATTATTTCTACACAGAGTAATGCTGCGGAGAAGTTTGAGGGGTACCCAGGTCTCGACCTGGAGGCAGTTCGAGCTTCACGTACTGTGCGTGAATTTGACGACACCCTGACGAGTGTCTTGTTTAACTACAAGAATGCTGACCACTTCTACGAAGACGCATCGTCCGATAAGAAGCTTCGTGCTGTCAAGGTGCCGCTACTCTGTATCAACGCCGAGGACGATCCTATCAGTGTTCGTACTGCTCTACCGTCACGCGCTCTGGTGGAGTCCAGTCCGAACGTGATTCTGTGCACTACAAAGTCGGGTGGACACTTGGCCTACTACGAAAGTTCTCTCCACGAGAAGAACGGACCCACCATGTGGACTGCTAAACCCATTGCTGAGTTCGCTGAGGCAGTGCGTCTAACCAAGTTAGAGGCAGCGCAAGGAGCGTAGCTAACGGGCTCAAAACTGGTACTCTCATTGGTATAACTGCTAAGCAAAAATGAACGAACACAACAAAAGCCGCAACACCGAAGCACTTGAGCCTCAAAGTGTGAACATGGCTACTCGTGCAGTCTTAGAAGCACTTGCGGTGGACGATAGATGGTCCCGACTCATCGTATTCGGTCTTGGAGATCCACATGTGCTGGAACGTGGCCAGCGAGGCCAGAATCGAGCCTCCAATCCAGACCGAGTACTTGCGTTCAGGTGGCGTGATGATCTTGACTTTCATCGCCGTTGGAGCTAGTTTAATCACCTCCTTGGTCATGCGCTCACCAATCCCAGGGAACATTGTCGAGCCACCGGACAGCACCACGTTGCTGTACAAGTCCCGGCGAATATCGACGTCACACTTCATGACCGTCTGGAAAGCGCACTCGTGAACTCCAGAGCATTCGCGACCAATCATGGACGGATTAAATAGCACCTCAGGGGTACGGAAGCGCTCGTTCCCGATCACAATGACGTTCCCATCAGGCAGTTCGTACGTCTTGTCTAATGCTGAAGATCGAGTAGATTTCTCCATCTCCTCGTCAAAGTCCATTGCTACATACGTCAACTTCTCCTTGATATCCCGCACGATTTCTCGCTCGGCTGTAGTGGTGAATGAGTACCCACGCTCAGTTAAAATCTTCATCATGTAGTCCGTCAAGTCTCGCCCAGCCAGATCTAGACGCACAATAGCGTGGGGGAGTGCATAACCTTCGTAAATAGGTACAGTGTGCGAGACTCCATCACCCGAGTCGAGTACGCAGCCTGTAGTACGACCAGAGGCATACAACGACAGCACCGCCTGGATGTTTACGTACATCGCTGGCACATTGAAGGTCTCGAACATGATCTGAGTCATGCGTTCGCGGTTCGCTTTAGGGTTGAGTGGAGCCTCCGTTAAGAGCACTGGATGCTCTTCTGGAGCTACACGCAGCTCGTTGTAGAACGTGTGACTCCAGATCTTCTCCATGTCATCCCAGTTCGTCACGATCCCGTGCTCAATTGGGTATCTCAACGTCAAGACGCCACGTTTCGCTTGCGCTTCATCCCCAATGTAAGCGTCTTTCTGGTTCATTCCCACCATGATACCTAGGTGTTTGGGCATGCCCACAATGGACGGGAACACGGCACGTGGGGCGTCATCGCCAGCGAACCCCGCCTTGCACATTCCCGATCCATTGTCAATTACTACGGCTTGAATATCGTCGTCCATGACTGTAATCTTAGCAACTTGTGCCCTTCGAGACAAAATGCAGAATGAGAACTTTGACACACCAACATACTTCAACTAACTGTCGGATCGCCTATTGGTCCTCTTCAACTTGTTGCCTTTATGTGCGCCACACTAGCGGACTTGAGAATCATCATGTTGGGGGGTAAACCAAAGGCGCCTAAGAAGCTCTCAGCGACGCAGCAAGCGCTGCTGACGCTGCACAAGATCCAAGCGCGAGGATCCTTCTATGTGGTGAATGCTTTGCTGCTGCTTCTGGTGTTCTACACGTCACACCGCTTCCCGCACAAGTTTGTGCGTGTTGTGGGAGAGTAAGTTAAAGTTAATTTACGCTAAGAGTACTGGGGTTGAAATTAACCTTATGTTGGTGTTATGGATACTTTTGCCACAGTTGCGACTCGAATTGGCTGCATGTACATTCTCCCGAGGGCTCCGAGACCATCTGCTGCAATAACGAGGCAGGAGGCTACGAAGACGCTCCGTGTTACACTGGCATGGACCTCATGCCCGTGATGGCCTCTCTTAAAGTACGTTCTTCGAGTGAGTTTAATAGGTGGCATAATAGCTAACTGTTATGTGTTACAGGGAGCGTGGGCCATCCCATTGTCCGCACTGGTCTTCAATTACGGCTCCATGATGCTTGGTCCGAACGTGACGATGCCTCGCGTCCGCGTTTACGTGCGTCGTGGCCTGTTGTATGTCGCGGTAATGGCTTTCCGCACGGTGGCTCTGTACATGGGACTAGGCCTGATAGAGAAGCGGTTGATCCACCTCTTTATGGGCCACTCGGACCATTCCTGCTGGTACGCTGACCTACGTCGTGGCAAGCGCTGTCCCGCTGACTTTGACCACTCGGACCACATCGTACTGCTAGTGGGCCACTACTTAGCAATATCATTGTTCGAATGGTTCGCAGTTAGCGTCGAGAGCGCAGGACCAAGTCTGAAGCGGACGTTGTTGCGCGCGTGGCTGATCTGTGTCGGTGCATTGGCGACGTATCTGCTCTTCTTCACGGCGTCGTACTTCCACACGGCAGCGGAGAACCTGGTCGGCCTGATTATCGCTCAGGGATGTGTGATGGCACCGTTGATGCTGCTGACTCAGGACTACTTTTCCTCTTATAAGTGGCTGCGTCTCAGTAACTTTGTCTTTCCACCAGAAGACCATAAGAGGGACAACTGATGGGTAGAAGGCTACGGTATGGCTAGATGCAGGACTACAGTAGATAGCTTAACGACTCTCCTGTATTCAACGAACATACTGTTGATACACTAATGCCCCGTAGTCATGACACATGTGTTGTCACTACACTATCGCCATAACCCCAGCAGCCACACAGATCACAATTGCTAGAGCTTGACGTGCCGACTGAAACAAAGGCGACGGAGCTGTGCTTGTCGACGAATCGGATCCGTGACGGCGGTTGGATTTCTTTTTCTTCTTCTTGCCGTGTTTCTGGATGTCCAGGTCGTTTTTGCTTGCCACGCACTTGTACGTCTCGTCCTTGTCGTCCAGTGCACACAGCGAGTCATTCGTTAGGACGTGGCCCTTGGGAGAACACGGCTGCGCTCCAACAATGGGGCACGCTCCACTTTCTCCCAATTCAACGTTGCCACACTTACTACTGAGCGGGGCGTTAGGGTCGAGACAGTAGTCCGACGCTCCCATGAGCGAGACTCGACGAACGGAGCGACAGTCACATCCGTACTCCAAGCTCGAACTGCCCGATCCTGAGTCCATACTCCAGCTCCAGCTGCCACTTTCGTCTCCACTTCCCTCGCTCGCAGAGCTCTCCGAACTCCTATCGGCACTGGAATCCTTACTGCCACTACTAACGCCGCTGGAATCGTCGCTGGAAGAACGTTGCTGCGATCCGGACAGAGAGGAAGTTGACGTAGACGTTGATGTTGAGTTCGAGTTCGAGTTCGACGACAGCAGCGGAGACTGCGTTGCAGCCAGAGGCATTACTTGAGGATTCTGAAAGAACGCTGGCCCACCGACAAATTGACTGGCAGCTTCAGTAAAGAATAACGCGGCAAAAAGCAGCAGTCGTGAGCAGCTCGACATCTCTCACGAATTCCTCCGAGCTAATACGATGGCGATGTTGCGACCACGATGAAAATTTCACAGTGGCGGAGTTTGCTTCATCGAGCTCAGGTCCATAGCTCCGATATCGCGGTGTAATTTCTCCATCAGAGCGACAGAAGTCTTCTTCGCTTGACTTGATTGAAGTGCTCCAATGTGCGGGGACTTTCCTCGATCTGCTCTCACTTCAACTTGATGTGTGGACAACATCAAACGTAATGTCGTGCGAAGGTGTTTGAACTGCTGGGTTCACTTGCGTGTTGTATCAGTGATTCTATCACTACATGACGACAAGTTCAACTTTTAGCACCCATGTCACTGCATCGCGGTAGACGTGACAAAATAGTACAAATACAGTCGTGCACCTCCAATTCGACAAGGCGGACCATATCAACAGTGCCAGGGCATAAGTGCACAGCGTAAAGCAAAAAACAAGCGCAAATCCAGTGCACTGATATTATATTTGTTAATTCAGTACCAAATTTACTCTAATCTTCTGCATAATCTTGGCGTCCTTCAAGACGGCAACTTCCGCGGACCGCTTAAGAATACTCTGGACGGCAGTGCGCTTTACTGCTTGGGGGGTCTTGAAGGCGCTCCGTTGCCCAACGAGCAAGTTCGGAGTGAGAGCATGCAGGATCTGACTTGTGCTTCTCGCACAAAGACTGCTTTTGTGGGACATGTAGGAGGAAGGGCGATGTCCCATTGTCTTTGGCGGTAAAAATCAAAGTGTGTGTTTGTAAGAAGACGTCCGATCCAAAATTTAAAATTAGATAGATGCGGCGTGTCATCCCTCGGCGAGGAGGGGAAAACCGTTGAGGTTAATTGCTAGGGTGGTGATGGGCAAAGGTAATTGCGCATCCGATTCGCGTAATCATAAAACCTGGCAGGGTATCGACTGATACCGGTGTCGAATTGGAGGTGCACGACTGTACAATGCGGAAAGCAGCCAGCACACGCACTGTCTGCGTGCCACACAGATCGTGCGTGTGCTGGCTGCTCTCTGGCACTGCGCCAGAGGATCTGCGGCAGAGGCTTAGTGAGACGTGAACCATCCAATGGATGATCCATACGTCTCCGTCGCTTAGCCAATGAGCTGGCTGCCTCTTGTAGCAAAAGAGCGGTCAGCTCATTCGGCAATTTTCTCTTCAGACAGCAAGGCCAAGGACGCGGGCGCGACGTGCCTCGGCCGTGATTCCCGGCACGGCGGCGCCCGTGTACACTGGCAACCCACCTTTCGACTACTTCTACGCTCTAGGTCGGCATGCAGACTACCCCTACGATCTACCAATACATTCGAAGCTCACGTACGCGGGCGCGACGTGCCTCGGCCGTGATTCCCGGCACGGCGGCGCCCGTGTACACTGGCAACCCACCTTTCGACTACTTCTACGCTCTAGGTCGGCATGCAGACTACCCCTACGATCTATCAATACATTCGAAGCTCACGTACGCGGGCGCGACGTGCCTCGGCCGTGATTCCCGGCACGGCGGCGCCCGTGTACACTGGCAACCCACCTTTCGACTACTTCTACGCTCTATGTCGGCATGCAGACTACCCCTACGATCTACCAACACATGCAGATCTGTTATATGGCTAGGTAGCGGCGAGCTGGCTTGTGCGGAGCATGTTGAAGGGTGAAAACCCTGTACTGCTCTTGCGGATAGCCTAGTCCGTTGCTAGTTTTGATTATACGAATAGTTCTAGATGTGGTGAAGACATAGGTATTTATTATATAAGAAACATATGTATCATGAGCCTGCTGATACTTGTTTAATTTTCTTTCGCTTCCACTTCAACGTAGGCTCTCTCTACTCGGCGCCGCTGGCGCCCACGGTATGTACGTATTTCGTTTGAAGGTAGATTAGCTGCCGGCTCCCATGTCGGCTCCCAAGAGGTAAGGAATTGAACACGACCGTTAGTTCGTCGATCAGCAAGGATGGTCCGCATCTGGTAGGTTGGTAGGCCGCGTAAGTCGGTTCCAGTCGGTAGGACCCATTCCGCTTCACCAGCGTCGTCACCTAAAGCAGCTGCCTCAATGAGGCGGGCCTTGTTGATACGTGCTTGTGGCACAGCATCGAGCAGCCGCTTGATTGCGTCTGCTGTATTTGAGGTTTCACCTCGCTGAACATGTGCCCATTCCTCAAGTAACGGGCCGCAGCCTCATCGAGGCGCCCCCACCCACGGGCTCGAAGGTGCGCTTGACACCACCTGAAGAAGGCCGGAGAGGGTGTTGGTGGGGATGGGTCCGTTGGGGTCCCGTCCTGTTGGCTTGCCATCGTCGAGGTGACTTGGAGAATGAGACTAAACCAAGATTAGTTTGAAGTGAAGATAAAACTGAAGGTGAGCGTGATGCTATTATTAATATAAAAAATAGACACGAAGCTAGAGTTTCTTTGTTTAGCGAGCTGCGACTGTACTTACGGCTAACGGATCTTACTCCGTATTCAACGCATGTCGGTTTGCTAGTGGGCGACCGGCAGGAACTCGGGTACCTGGCGTATCCGATCGGCGACGTTTCTTAGACACAGAGCGATTAACAAGAGTCCTTTTACCATCCAGTCCAGTGTAGCTCTTAATTTGCAGAGCAAAAAGCACGTGAATGCAGATAGCAAACTTGAAGTAGTACTTGCATCCGCACGAATTCGTACTCAAATTCACATGCCAGCCTCCCTCAGGCTGTCCAAATGCCTCCATTCGCGCGTAATTCACTCCCATCTGGGCCGACACCGGGGCTACCTCGCGAGTGCGTCCGAGTTCTGGAAGATAGATACGCTCACAGCCACGTGACTTCACACGAACCACGTCTGGGTTTGGAGAAACACCTTACAGAGAGAAGTCAAGCAGCCAAGGAGAAAGGGGAGACGGTGATGGCAGCCAAAGGACCGCTAAGTGTGGCGTTCAACCCGTTCGCGTGTTTGCCCGAGGAACAACTGGACGAGACTACAGGGGAGCTGATCGTCACTAAAGGGGTCGACATATTCGAGGCGGATGAGGAAGAGAAGTCGTCAGTGGATGAATATGAATACGAAGCAGTGGGGAGTAAGGATAGTACTACTCCACATCATTATTTTGCTGTAGGAAATGATACGATTAAGGAAGATATTATACGAGTGGCTATGAAGCAGCTGGATCGAGAGCACATTCTACGAACGTCGAGGGAGATTTTTGAAGTCTTCAAGGTGTACGGAATGGCAGTACTGTCCGAGAGATTAAGTTTATCACTAGCGTTACCACACGTGTCGCTACGTCTCAACAAACAGTCGGAGATGGTGACGCCAGCGAGACTCACGAGACAGAGACAACGTGTTCTTTCGGTAGCGAATCTGGCGAAATGTGCCGTTTCTCTGGGCATCGCGGAGCTAATTCAGGGAAATGAGCACGAAGCTGCTCGACTGCAAGAAGAATATGGACTAGCGAACACTCTTCGTGCCTTCGTGGGCTTCTACAGTGCCGTCGCGACCACTTCGACGCCCTCAAATCGCCCCAGTAATGTGCTGGTTAACGTCATCTGCACAATGCTTTACGACGTTGCATCAATGACTTCAACGCTTCGATTAAACCCTGTAAAATCCCCGAGAGAGAGCCGCTAGTGGCGATGATGCAGTCAGTGGGAGAAGCCCGTGTGTTTATAAACAGCAAGGCGTGTGACGAACTCCACGCACCAGGAGAGAGACCAGCTTCCGACGCAGCTCTAGAGCGAAGGCGTCAACCGTCTCTGCTACTGCGCCAATGCATCGACTCGACTCGACTTGAAACCCTCTTTGAGACGCTCAACAAGGAGCAAGAAGCGCAACGACAGCGAAGCGAAGCTGCTCCTTCACTTCGAAAGAGGAGACCCAAGAAGAAGAAAACCGTTGATGGGTTTGCTGCAACCGCTGGCTGTGTCACTCGCAATCTAGAGCGCTTCCTCCATCGCCGGTTCCTCTTCTGCCTCGAAGAGATTGTGGTGCTCTTTGCTCAGCGTAAAACGGAGGCTTGTCGAGCTCAGATCGCCGTGTTCGAACACGATGTTGAGCCATGTGCCGAGCTGCCTCACTTCCGGAAGTGGGAGGTCTCGACGAGTACACTTACACTGGCGATGCGTGACAGCTTCTTCCGGATGCTACTGCATGATGTTTGCCAGTTCCACGCCGTCATTTCGACCAGTAGGAACGCGAGGGATGGAACGCGGATCACGCAGCTTCGCTTGCCGCTTCATTACACGTGGTCGAACATTGACACACGCATCACGACGGAGCAACAGGCTCGCAGTTAAGTTGCGTCTCCGGCTGGGTGCTTGGATTCGCTGGAGCTACTGGGATCACCTTGTGGACTTAATCCGCGGCGTTAAGCAGCCGTCGCTAGCATGCAAACGGTGTTTTCTACCGAGTGTGAAGCAGGCCGAGAAAGAGGTGATAAGGTCGTCTGGCCTCCATGATCTTGGTGTCCTGGCGTCCTGAGACCCCTTTCTCGCGTGACTTTTGGAGAGATTCAATGGCTTGGTCTCGACCAACGTGGAAGTGCTTTAGTGTCGTTGGTTTTTTGTCGAACGTAGTGAGCGGTAGAACAAACACAAAAAGGAGAGTTGCTTGATGGACGTTCTTGTGAAATTTTGATCCGTCGACCACTTGGAAGAAACACGAAGGACGTCAAGTCCTGCTAAACTGAAGGCGAAGGACAATCTGAACTTCAAAGCTTGAAGACCCAAGACGCTCAGGCTCCAGCGGGACGTGATATTGGTAGCATTAGTACCGTCGCAGACTAAGGGGAGACTACTCTTGCAAATAAAATTGAGTGAAGAGTTGAATACTGGGATGCACGGAAATAGTATCATTTTAATACCAGATAAATAGAGTGAATCACGTGGGTGCACTGACAGCCTACCTACCCTTGCATCGTCTTTCGAGTTGGCATCAACTCATCCTCTTGTAAAAAAGACTCCTCGTTGGTACTTGTAAGAACCACGTGCACAGCATCGTTTCCAGCAAAAGTGAATGCTTAGGCATCTCTTGGAAACTCACGAGCTGGTTTCGCAGTGTTGGGTTTTAATCCAGGTGGATCCAAAAGCCCCCGACTTGCAATCATCATGAGTTTCTTGTCTATCATCGCTTGTGACAATTTTGGTGTGAAGAGATCACCGGCTTTCCTTTTCTCCTCGTCCCTACGATGTTCCAAGTCGCCAATGACAGCCACCATGGGATCCCAAGCAGGTTTCAGCAGGCTTCTTAATCTACAAGCCACGCCCTCAGTCAAGAATGTAAATGTCTTCTTGCTCACTGATTGGAAACATAGCGTGAAGCCAAAGTCCGACGATGCAGCAGCAGCCTCTTTCGTGTCTGATCCCGTGCAATCGCCATCCCCAGCTGCGTAAACGAAGCGCTGGTTCTGGTTACGATCTTGCATGTTCATGGAGAGTCGGATTACGTCCCTGATAGGCTTCTCACTCAAAGAGTTCCCACGACCCTGCTCTGTTTGGCTCTTTTCAGAGCTCTCACCGCTTCCAAATACAAACGAAGGCAACAGTCTTTCCAATCCAAACTTTGATAAATCACAATCGGGTTTCACTTTCACCAACATGAACGATATTTTTTCCGGATCCGTCCCAACTCCATCGTTTGATACTTTACGAAAGATCGGAATGAGAAGATCAGCTCCAGATCTCTTGTTGCGTGGGAAAATCCCCGCGGCCCGACGGCCCAGTAGAAACCATAACGTGTTTTCGTCTGGCTCCACTCGGAGCTGTACGAAATGAGTGAATCCCATTTGCCAGCCATCCCAACCTGTCAGCCAGCTGTGAAATGAGTCCACCACATCCGCGTTTGCAGGTAGCATTCCCGGAATCCGCACTCCCATCTGTGTCGCTCCTAGCATCTCCAAGAAAGAGGAAACAGGAAGAAACTGGCCCCTGAATTTCCAGGAAGTGGTACCCAGCACACACTTGTCCATCGCGAGGAGCAGCACGATACGAGCGACTACCTCCTCAACACCACCGATATCAAGGGATTCGTTAAGCACTAACGTCTCGAATTGAGGCAAAATGAACTCCTCTAGAGCGTTTCGGAGTCCATACCACACCTTCATTGCGCCTAGAGTTAGTATCGGGTCCGACGCGTAGCTGCATACCAAGCCTTCTGTCTCGTAGCTTACATACGCCAGAACTGCCATATAATTACCGACGGCTTGAGATGCCAACGGCGACGTCGAACGCGGACGCACACCTAGTCTACAAAGCATGGACGCGACACCAAACATGGTATCTTTCCGGTAGTTCCGAGGCCGCGGGGGGGGAGTCCCAGCAACAGTTTATTCGCTGCCAGTCCGACTGCTTCGTCCCGCGTGCACGGAATGATTCCATACCTCTCGACTAGCTCCGTAGCGGTGCTCTGCCACAATGGACGACCCATTTTCAATAGCGATTCCCAAGCAGCGTCTTCTTTTCCCGTCACATTTTTCTTGTATTGGACGATATCGGATCTCATGCTTTTATCAGAAATCACATCAGCTTGATACATTTCATTTTTGTCTTCGCAATCTTTTTGCCAAAGTGCATCCATCGTGTGAGTGAGAACAAAAGGCGGAAACGAAATCAACCCCTGGCCTGTCGAGTATTGAGATAACGATACCGGTGGAGAGACGTCCAAGATCGTTGGGCTTGTATCTACCAGCACCGCGACAACGCCACCATTTTCGGGCATACACATGTTTGCTTTGGCGAGAGCCCGTAGCAACATTCGGAAATGACTCACTTCATCCTCACTAAGCAGACTCCTCGCTTCGTCAATCACCAAGACCACTATCTTTCCACTCGAATTCTTTAATTTTATTTTATCTTCGGGCATATCTTGCAGTTTTGTCAGCACCGACTCATCAGCTGCGGGGTCGGTAAACAATTTGATCCACTCGGTCTGAACCGTATTCCAGTACTTTATGGCGTAGCGATATATTACCTTCAATTGATCCGCGATACTCGCCGGAGTTGACTTATCATTGAACATCCACTCTCGAAGCTCCGTCGTCGCCTTCGGATACCCCGTCGACTTGGGCGGGCGGGCGCACGTGTAAATTACTTTCATCTTGGCATCGTCCCCGCTCGCCTTTCGAGCGAGTTCAAACAACATTCGGCTCTTACCGAAGCCGGAGCTCTGAACTACCGCCACAGACGGCGCAACGAACGTGTTCGGTAGCTCACAGTACATTTTCCAGCACGTCCACACGTACTCGTTAAACTCTGTGCTGGCATCACCAATGTACGGACTTTCTGTGAACGCGACCTGAAGCCTTATTTGATCTTCTGTCCGGGTAAAAGGTTGAGTTTTGTCTTTTGACCCAAAGCGTTCTACAAACGCCTTCGCTGTCGTTGCAGCAACAGTGGCCACGACTCCGCAGGGCGCGTTGCATCCTAACCGAGTCGCTATTGATATAATTACTTGAAGTCGGGGGCTGACCTCGTGGAGCTTGCGTGGGTCGTTAAATTGCTGAAAATCTCTTGTGTGCATGACATCTTTCTTGGTCAGTTCTTCGCCGGTTGCGTTCATTATTGCGAGAAACTCCTCGTTCTGCTTCAAGAGAGTGAAAATGTGGTCGTTGGCGAATGCAGCCAACTCCGTGAGGCTCAACAGGCTTGACCCGCTCTGCTTTACGCGTCAGTCATTAAGGAACATATATTCTAAAGCGCTAAATCAAGGCGTACCTGCATTGCAATGTTGAAAAATGGGCTTTCGACCCCCCCCCCCTTTCCATCAATCTTGTCAGTGACTACCATGGAGCAACAGGCTCGCAGTTTAGTTCCGTCTCCGGTTTGATGCTTGGATTTTTTGGGTTGCTTGGGAGCATACGCATGTGATGCTTTGCCGGTGTCTGGTTGCGTTTTGGGGCTTCCGAGACGAATCCTTGTGGACTGGAATCGCGAAGCTGAGCAGCCTTTGCTAGCATGCTAACGGCGTTTTCTACCGTCTGGGAATCTGGTCGAGAAAGAGGCGACAAGATCGTCTGCGAAGTCGGTACTCGCTTGCCCAAAGCTCGACACACTCGAGCCTCCATAACGTGCTCTTGAGCAGCCGATGTCCTGGCGTGTCGGATGCTTGATGCCCCTTTCTCGTGATATACACGTTCGCGTTGCCTTTGTAGGAAATCGGCGCCTTTGTCTCGACCAACGTGGAAGTCCAGAGGGCGGTGGAGAGCTGCAGCGACGCCGCGTGATCGCTTCTGCTTGCTCCATTGCGAATCATTCTCGTACGACAGCGTAGTTGGTGCGGATTCGGATCGATTGAGGCAAGTATCACTGTGTCGATTAGCGTGGGGATGTGAGGTAGCACTGCTAATTACCGGAGCTTGGTCGATGTGTGGGAGTGTTTCCAGTGACATGGTTGTGTCTTCTGGATCGAGTGCTTTAGTGTCCTCGCTTAGATGAACGGAGAGAGGTTGTTCGGTTAGAGCGAAGACGGAAGGAAGTGTATTCGGCGAGGATTCCTGCTGTTCCCGACGTTCAGGTGAAGCTTCGCTCTGTCGATCACTCGGAAGAAACAGGCAGGACACGTCGTCCAGATCTTGCCACCATGCCTTTCTCTCGGTTCGCTTTCGAGGGAACGCTTGACCTGGTCTCGTTCGCTGTAGATGACGATTAAGAGCGACCGGTTGGTGCGATGGAGGCGTCGTACTGGGCAATCGAAGGGGACGATCGACCTCGTCTTCGTCCTCGTCACTTGTGACTTCATGTGGAGACCTCTCCACAACGCGTGGTGTAACTACACGATCGGTAGATTCGTTGGATTCCCCAACGTCAAGCGCCGATAGACTTTTAAACCCCACGATGAGGTCACAGAAGTCGTCTTTCACTTGAACACTTCCTCGAGCACAGCTATCCACGACAATATGCTGTTAGATTTGTTAACAGAGGGATACAGCCGAGGACTTACAGTCGACATAGAGACTCCATCGCTCTGTCTAGCTCTTCATGTCGCCGTTGCCACGTTCGATCCAGTCGCTTCAAGGCGAATATGGCGTCGTCCAAGTCGAGAATTCGGCACATTTCGAAGATAAATTCTGGCTGTTGATACTTTGCAAGAACGCGGAAAATTAAGCTGGTACGCGCGCATTTTGCGAACCCCATGACGTATCGGAGGAAGTCAAGAAGCTTCGATACTTCAGGGAATAACGCAAGTACGGCGACTGTATCACTCAGGGGCATAGCGTCGCCCAGTGCTGCTCGGATCACATCTTTTAAGAGCAATAAGTTGTCGTCGAGAGAGAACAAACACACAGTCTTCGCCACTTGGTTCAGCAACTCCGTGGACTGTTCCAGACGCTGTTCTACGTCGCAATGCTCAGCCATTAGACGCAGAAAGAACCACAGCGGTTCGCTTGCTAGTAAGCGGAGGAGAGACGTGTGATACTTGGCATCCACCAGGCCAATCACGCGACAGAAGGAAGCGCTCACGGGCTCACAGGACGAGCTACAAACCGCCGTACAGAAAGCCCCCACAGAGTTCTTTGGCATCTTCACAAGCCTAGCGAGAAGCAGCGTGCGTGCCTGGACATTAAGCTGCAGGAAGAGCGCTACAAGACTTACTCGAATGTGGATTTGAAGCGGGCTTAGCAGCAGAATCAGCAGCCGTAAAGCCTCGTTGTCTTGGAGATTGGACGCTACTTCAGCCAGGTTTTCAACGTTGGTAACGCCTTCCAATGCTCGAAGCTGCTCGATGAAAGCCGAGCGAATCTCCCACGACATTCGATGGAATATCGCAACCAAGAGGTGCATAAGTTCCGGTAACACTCGCGTGGAATAGCCGATGATACGGAGCAGAACCCCCTTCTCCGGACGATCCGTAAGCATCTCAAAGAAGAGATCTCGAATATGAACTGGCAGATCAGCAGCGAAGATGACGAGTTCTCGACAAAAAGCCTGGTTCATCATGTCCACGGCCACAGTGATGAAAACCTGTAGCTGCTCTGCACTAACGTACTGGGACCCCATCAACTTGGCGAACATTTTGTACTCGACTTTGGCGAGTATCAACAACAGCTGGAAGAAGGCATCGAGTGCTTCTAATGGCCACGCAGACATTTTGGCTAATAATCGACAGTTCGCACCACTCGGCATACTGAGCATAAGACGCGTTAACGCGACTTGCTCAGGCATCCGTTGGGTACGCAGGAAGTAAAGTAGACTATCGTATTTGTCGAATGGGATCGTGCGTAGCAGGCGAAGAACTTTATGACGAGCGAGGTCGCATTCGCAGCGATTCAGCAGAACTTTGGCGTGGATTCCGATGGACGAAGAGTGCCCTTCGAGCTGAGCTTCGTGATGGCTAAGGATATCTCGACAAAGTATCGTCTTGTCTTTCTTATGGAGAGCTCCGAGCATTTGAAGAACCGTCGTGACTTTGTCTTTACACGTGGCTTGCAGGTGAAGTAGCGTGTCGTAAAGTGGCTGTGCCTCCTCTCCAGGCATCTCTTCGACTAGCGGGACTAACACTTTTCGCCAATCGAGTAGGATAGCGAGGAGTAAACGTAGAAAAGGCTGCAGACACGGCAGCTCTACAGTCTCTAGACCCCGACCCAGTACCGCCAAGTCTTCTGCTGAGTGAACGACGATAGTGTACAGTATTTGATGAATCATTTCAGTAGGCAAAGACGACAGTTTTTGGATCACTAGATCTGGAAATTTCAGACCAGCGTAAAAGAAGAATTTCATCAGAAAATTGTTTCCTGTCGTAAGAGCTGGAATCGCGAATGCGTCCTCGGGATCTTCTTCGTAGCTCGACGTATCTGCGTTTAAAGGAGAGCTCGACGCTGTAATCATGAGTTCGAGAAATCGGAGTTGGCTTGGAGGAGAAAAAGTCAGAAAGTAGAAAATCAACTTTCTTCCGGCCAAAAGCGAACAAAGTTGTCACAAACACTTCGATGGCGTTAATCTCGGCGGGAGCGAGAGCGTCCAGCATCTTTAACAAGTCGTTTTTCGGGAAGTAGGGCAGACCACGTTTGACTACCAAGTGAATCATCTTCTCATTGTTGAATTTAGTGAACAGAGTGATGAGGATGATGGTCGGGAACTCTTCGAGGAGCAAGGAGAGCTCACAACGCACGGCGACGTCCAGATCCAGTAGTTTGGCTGCCGTGATGCCGGTGGTTTCGTAGAATCGACCCAGTTTCTTCAGTGTACTCGTTGTGGTGGGTAGAAAGCCGCTGATATTTGAAGCTGCGAGTAGTCTGTGGATAGCGTCGATAAGATAAAGTCTCTTCATAGAGTCCAGTGGTCGTAGTAGTCCAAGCCACGTGAGCATGCAGTGCTCTTTGATCGCCCTACTCACAAAGTTTACGGCGCTCTCATAGCCTGGTCCGCATGCCATATCACCTTCGACTTTGACTGCTGCGTGCTCTAGTTCGTCTAGCCAGCTGATCCACTCACGAAGTTCCGGTAGGTCGTCAGCGAAGAGATCTAATAATTCTTTCTGGACTTTGAAGGGCAACGTCTTGGCCACGACGCAGTACGTGATGGCTCTTGATAGCCCAAGAGTCTGGTAGATTTTCGTGAGGAGATGGCGGTCTCTGCTGTCTGCGAACGAGGCGTAGAAGTGTAGGTAGGAGCTGTCTTATCACTGCACCGTCAGCAGCAGATTCAGAACTGTCGAGATGTCTGCTACGTAGGGGGCGCTGACGATCGTGTGCTGCTATATAGTGATGCATGCGAGTAAGATCTTGTAGATAGTATTCCACGTCGTCGGTGGGGTCGAATTGGTGCGAGAACCACGAAGCCACGTTGGAAAGAGCAGGAGTGGGTTGCATGGCGCTCAGGGTGTCTGCTAGCTGCGCTTGCTGGGGATGTCGGAAGCGACTGCTTACCATGAGGCGAAGCTCATCTGCTATCGACGATTTTTCGAGACCCAGTAGCGATAAGATTCGCTCCGGGGGCGATGGGGCTGTGTGGTGATCATTGAGCGCCATGAAATGGATAATAAAGTGGCTTATTAGTTGGCGTTTCTGCTGACCCGACTAGCAACTTGAAATAGCACAGATTGTTACGGTTCTCAAAACTCACAGTTGCTTTGGCTCCAAGTCAATTCATTATCCAAAGATAGCCTTTTTATCAGGTAGAAACCCTCTGCTCCATTCTGAGTAGAGTTTCTTGTCTGTCATCGCTTTGACATTTCCCCTTCCTCGACATTTACAGTTTCGTCAAGCTTAAAAAAACGGTATGTACAGTGTTTTTTTTTCCACGGTCTGATAATATATTGGCCGGAATTTTTGCCCCCTTTTGTAAATAAGCATTTTGCAATCTCATCGGCTTCGCATTTTCTCTTGTTTAAGCAACCAATTACATGTAGAGCGTCGTCTGGGAAATCATTCATGAAAGTGGCATTCGATATTGTTACGATCCAGCACTAGCAGTAGACAGAGCTGTAGTCTGTTGTCATTCCGGAACTGAGTCCCTACTTATTTAGGGCTGGCTGCTGCCACGCAGCCATCCACTCATCCTACTTCAACATCTTTCTGTTAGTCTGCATCTGACCAACGCCACGTCTCTCTTGTATGAGGCTGCCTCCTGCGGAGTGACTCAAAGGCAGATCATACCGTAAAATACGGCCAGATTGAGACAACATTATTTGCTCGAATCATTAGTTGATAAGAAAACCTTATGAGGTTTTATCACAGGACGCGCGCGCCAATAGCCGTGCCGTCCTTTTTATTTACAGTTGAGCGCGCCACCCACACGATTAGCAATGCGCAAGCCCAAGAACAAGAATCGCAGCATGTACCAGGTATCATATAGTGTTTATCTCCACCTTCTGCTACAAGCGCTAACTCAGTATTTTGGTGGTAAGTTGGCCTTCTATTTTGCTAATCGTTTTTTTTCCTATAGAAGCCTGATATGTTTTGGGACGATCAATCAATGTGATTGTCTTTCTGATCTGTTCTGCAGTAGTCGCTCGCTGCCGGACTGCCACTCTATCCAGGAAGTCTGACCACCTTTCCAAGTTGATGTCTGCTGGTTTGTTGTACTTCTTGGTTTCTTGTCTCTGTGCAAGGAATTTTGCAACTGCGAGCGATTTCCTTGTTGGTTTTATCGTCTGTACTGCGAAAAAGCTGTATTGTGGCTTGTCTGAAGTATCTCGCTTCAGAACTGTTTTCTGTTGGCTGGTTCGTGTTCGTGTTGTGCTTATTGCTTCAATTTGGAGTAATACCTGCGTCGTTGATTCCTGGTTCTTGATGATTTTGCTTCCTGTTTGGATTATCCTGTCGTTGTGTTCTGCTGGTGGTATTTGCACTGGAAAGGCTATGCTGCCTGCTGCCTGCAGCTGCCATTCCTGTTCATTCTCCAGTTTAAACAACAGCCATCCACTTGACGCTTTGGTTTTCATCGTGTGGTACTGTAATTGCCATACTGCGATGATTGTCTGGTTTTCTGTCTCCCATGTCTAGCTCATCATTGCTTGACAGATTTCCAAACAGTAGCCAGCCACTCTTGTTTTTTTTTGTGATGTCCATGCACTCACTACTGCTTTCACTTGGAAGGTTCCTGCTGTCCGGACTATCTGTACTACTTCACTGGACGTGGTGTGTAAAGTTTCGAAGATGTACTTATTCCGAAGTCTCCATAAAATCGTGGGTGTTACCGTGGTCCAAATCCTCCATAGTGTCTTCATTGCTGCTTCATGGTTTGTACTACGCACTGTAATACATCATTGTGCTTTCGTGAGAAACTGCGCTGTAATGGCTGGCGCTTGTCGAGCAGCTACCTGTGGTATTAGTGCTGTTCGTTCGTCCGGTGTTGTTGTCTTCGCTAACCAACTTTCCATCCACGATTTCCACGCTAGCTGAGCCCTCTCACATTCCCAGATGATGTGTTTCGCTGTTTCTTGTTGCTCCATGCATTGTGGCTCCGGGCATTGGCGATTGCTAGGCCATCCCTCGTGAAACAGGTTAGGTGCTCCAATTGCCAGTCGGTATATGGTCCGATTTTGGTAATCTGAGAATATTCCATTGTTCCACATCCGAGTTGTAGTTTGGGTCATTGCGTGTTGTTTCTAAGCTGACCTCTTTTGGCGGCCTTGAATTGTCTTCAGCATTGCTGCTAAGTTATGCTTGAGGTTGTTCTTGATTCTCTTCGATCTCTGTTTTCGTATTGCTTCTTGCAGGTGGCTCGCTTTCGTAGCTGCAGGTGCTTTCCATGGGAATTTTGCTATGCTGGGGCTGGCCTTGAACGCTATACCTTCTCGATTCTCCCACGCTGCCCAGTTTGCTGCGTCCGCTGTTTTCCCATATTCTTTTGAAACCGACGTGATCTGCCAGTCCCATCCATTGGATGCTCTTGTAAGTGTCATGCCTGTGTCCCTCCCTCGCTGTATCCCTTCTTGCTCTTACTACGGCTTTGTCTACATTATCTATCTCCCTTTTTAATTTTTCTTCTAGCTTTGGGGCCGTGAATGGTTCTAACTCTTTTTTTGTGGGTTTCCAGCATCGTTTGGGCAGACCAAGTAATAAGCTTCGGCTCCATCTGAGTATTTGCTTGTGTTGACAAAGCTTGTAGATCTGCGCTTGAAGTGGTGGTTTGATAACTGTACCGTATTCTCCTGCTGGTGTCAATCCTAGTTTCTGCTTGACCTCAATATTTGGAGCAGTGGTTGACACAACACGACACAATAATTCTGGGAGGAGATTTGAACTGTGTACTCAGGCCTAGCCGGGATCGCATCACCAGGCAAATTCCCAGCACAGCAGCATGTGAAAGCCTATCTTTAAAAGCACCTCATGGATATATATGATATGACGGACGGAGTGGAGCTACACCATGATTTAGAAGAGGAAGATGAGAAGATTGAAGCACTACGCTACTTCACACGGTGGAGCAAGAACGGAGCCAGTAGGTTGGCTCGATTTTACGTCAAAGGAGACGTATTTCAAGCCACACAAGCAGTGAAAGTCATGGACGCAGCACATGAATCAGATAACCAGGAATTACGACTGGAATTAGCAGCAGGAAAAGCAATAAGACACAGGACAAACAGGAGATTCTACGACCCTATTCGGAGTGGAAGACCACAAAGAATCAAAGCAATGGTTGCAGAAGGCCTCCTGCCCCTCCTTGAGGTGTTTGATGTATCGGAGCAACCAATAACACAGTGAGACACTTTAGTAACCGAGATCCAACAACTCCTTCAGCAAGTCAGAAAAACGGACCAAAGACCATCGGAGCATTACTACAAGAAATTAAAGGCGGAAACAAGAGTACCCAGAACGACAAGAGGAGAAATATTAGCCGACAACAGCAGACAAGCCAGAAAAGGAGCAGCACGCTCATTTGGAGCACGACGAAAAGGAGGAGATGACGAAACGAGACGCTTCTTCAAAAGGAACAGCGAATGGCAAAGAGACCAGTCAATCACGGACATTCAAGCCTCCGCTGGCCACTTCTACAGCGATGACTATCCCATTGCGGAAAGGATGGCCTCAGAGTGGAGCCATATATTTGGGGAATCACATGCAGACAGCAACCAAGGCAGCTTTATGATGATGGAGCAGTTCATGAACATACCACCACAACAACGACTAACGCCGACAGAAGAAGCAGATCGGATGACCCCAATCACGGAAACAGAAACGAAACTCGCCATTGACCACCTCAACCGACACAAAACGAGAGGAACGACTGGACTCAACCATGAATTTTATAAGGACTTTGCAGAAATGATGATACCATCTCTAACAAAATTATTCAATAGCATTCTTCAAGGAGCAGGAGTACCGCCTTGAAAAATTGTGGTTGCTCTTCTTTTTTGGCTGGGAAATACACGTTGATTATCAACCATTCGTCCATTTCAACTGCCATGATCCTTTCTGTCCATGACGCTTGGTTCCATGGTTTCACTCTATCACTGATTGTTGGTGATACCAATATCCCCATCCCACTAAATGGAGTTTGTGATAGTTGCCAGTGACTCAGCGGGTTTTTCGTTTTCTCCACTTACCATGCCCGTTTCCACTGCTTTCTAATTTCCTCTTTTTCTTCGGTGGTGTGAAGGTTAGTTTCTTGAACCAATATCATATCCGGTATTGGGTTTCCTCGTCTTCTCCTCCATCCATTTAACCACCTTCGTCTGGATGTTTTCGCGAATCCTCTTAAATTCTGTGTTGCTATTGTAAATTTTGCTTGGCGTCTATCGATGTTTATCTGCTCACGGATTCTTGTATCTTCAAATAATGCTGCTATGTTGTGAAGGTCCGAGTAGTAGTCTCCTCTCGGAAATTCTCTAAACTTTGATTTATTGTCCGTCATTCAAATTCGTTTCTGCTCCCTCCTTTCTTAGCCCTCGACGTGACTTGGCTAAGTATGGTTTCACCAGTACCCTGTTGTCTCTTTCTGTTCAAGAGCTGCTTCGAGCTCCGGTGAGCTCCCCATTGCTTCCAATAATATTTCCACGTACTCCAAAATCGAGGACGGCTCTTGCCACTGCTGTCCCGCCACAATCATGAGTTCTCCGTAGTAGACTTGAGCCGTTAGAACCATCTTCACCAGCTTTTCTTTTTTATTTGCCCTACAGAGTTTCAACAACTCCATCCCTTCAAAATGGTTTTTCTTCAGTGGTGTCCACAGCTCGTTGGGGTATAAGTTTGTGTTATCTGGGTTTGTTTGATGTTGTAGTCTGAGAGCCTCAATCCATTTTTGTATCCATGTACGTCGTTCTGGGTCGGGAATGTCTTATTCAATTTGATCCAAACAATGCAGGAGAACCGTTAGGCGTGCCGTTTTAGTCCATTCTTCCAGTACTGCATCTGTCAGCTCCGCTAAGATGTATCCTGGGGCTTGGAACCGTTGCAGGCTATTTAGCAGTGCTATAGAGTCTGCATGTACTACCCTTTTCCACGTCGCGATTGGAGTTGGTAGTCTCGGGAACGGGCTTTGGCCTTGCCACTGCCTTTCAAGTTGGTTCCACGTGAAGCCCTTGCTGCTGTTCGAGTTGTTGAAATCTGCCTGTAGCCGCATCTTGCTGGCTCTTCGGTGGTTCCTGTTCAGGTTCCGTTGTGTCTTCCATAATCGTGTCTTGTGACAGCCACTCCGATCCTTCCTCTACCTGACTGGAATTTTGCGATTCTGTGTATGTAGATGTGCTCCCAATTGCTTGTAGCTCGGCTTGCCATTGGTGCAGGGTGGTGTCCGCTACTTCGTACACCTTATCCACTCTTTTACCTTGGTTTCATCCCCCCAGTCCAGCTCTCGCAGCTCCCTCCTTGTTCCGGGCGATAGCCCTTCCAGTCCTGCTGTCGGGAATGCTTCTAGTTCCAATTTTCCGATATCCTCCGAAGTTGTCAATTGCCTCTTTTTCTGTGGCTGGCTTTCTCTTGATATGCTGATCGGTCGTGCATGTAGTCTTTGTTTCGGTATCTGTACCTGAATTGCCACTAGTTGTGATTCCGCTTGAAAGTTCGTGGCTGTACTCGGTGTCATCCACTTCTATTGGGGTTGGTTCATCGTCTATCATCTCCTGGTTTTGCTTCTGTTCGTGTGGTGCAATTTGAAGCCAGCTATAATGTAAAGCTTGGTATAATATGATGATCGGTCCTTGGTTACTCTCATTAATTTGGTTGAGTTTCTGTTGAGTACTTTCGATCCATCCTGCCGCTGCTCCTGTGTTGATTTTTTTTCTTTGACCGTTCGAAACGTTTCCCCCTCCACTGTTCGTTCTGCCAGATAAAAAATCTGATAACACGTTTTTTCCAGGCCTCCCGGTGCCACCACTACGTAAATCGTTCGATTCAGAATTTTTGCTAGGGGTCATCTCCGATCCCCAGTATCTGTGGTCCACGTAATCTGCTTGTTTAGAGGAAGTTTGACCAAGAGCTTTTAGGTATTCTTTGAGTGCTTTGCCTGATTAACCCCTTTAGCCCCGCCGCCTGTATTCTACAGGATAAAAAGTTTCGTATCCTGTATTATACAGGATACGATATCAAGGTAATTTGCAGTATACAAATGCTAAGTCTTTCTATACAAACTACAAGTGACACATGCAAATATAAATTTTTAGAGTCACGTTGCTAACCTCGGGGGTGATTATTCGTGGCCACAAAATCTCGAGATTTAGGGCGCGCAAATTTCGCGCCATTCGCGAATCGGACGGACACGAGAGAGGAAGATCGCCATGCCAAAACGAAGGCACATCAAGCCACTTACGTGGACCAAGCTTTGGACCAAGCTAAAGAAGTTGGGGTGGCAGTTCGAGCGTCCTAAAGGACTATCTAGTGATAACCGATACTTCACACCTGCTGGCCGGGCAAAAAGACCAAACGTAACGCATCTCGTTGATTTTTTTTAATGGGGCCGACGAGGTGTGGAAGCACTTACCCGTAGAAGGTATGTACATGTACATGTATACGACTTACAAATGCTACATTTACTAACAAGCTCTTAGTGTTGTACGATGAGGTCCCACCTGCCAAGCGACCCGCCTCAGTATCCACGACTACGACTGATCTACCAGACAATGCGGCAACCACACCCGCTTCGCAACCCCGCCCTGCCGACAATACTAACTCAGCGTTTTCTACCAGCGCGCCGACACCGACCGAGACGCCGGCCAAGACGCCGACTAAGTCGCCAGTCAGGTCGCCGACCAGGTCATCCGCCAAGTCGCCGATCAAGCATAAGGCCAAGTCGCAAGCCAAGTCACCTGCCAAGTCGCCCGCTAAAACGCCTTCAAAGTCTCCAGCAAAAGCACCGCCCAAGACCCGTGTCAGGTCGCCGACCAAGCCACCAACTACTCCAAAGAAACGGGCAGGTAGACCTACAGCTACAACACCAGTAGAGAGTGTGGAGCGACGTGTACTTCCTCCTCAGAGTGCACGCCTGGCAGCTCAGGCGGTTGATATCTCGGCTGGCGACGATCGAATGAGCTCTGAAGATGAAGATGAATACGGAATCGACGACGATGGCGACGATATGTCTGACATTGACGATACCAGTGATGGCTCTGAAGATGAAGGAGAAGAAGTAACCAGTGATGAAGAGGATGCTGTGGATCTCCCCGTCGGAACTCCATTCGATAAGAGGAGCAAGGAAGAATTGAGTGAGCATGCGAAGACTGGCTGGACAGCCTACTTTGAAGACGAATGTAAGTACTGTGCTGTACGATAAAGGCTATCATGCACCTCGCTTTATTCTTTATCCTGTATTCGATACTAACATAGCTTGATGTACTATGCAGGCACTTCGCTACAAATGCCTGCCGCTGAGCTTACGCAATGCACAGCAGCTCCTACCGAGCTAGCTAAAGCACTCGGTAACAATCTAGAAGGATTATTCTTTCTCTTTCTTCCTAAAAAGAGGTGGGTTTCTATCGCAGATGAGTTCAACCGGTATCAACATCAATACCGCACGCAGGCAGCGGACGTCATCATGGCACGTCAAAAACGCATCAAGCAAAGACGTCCTGCGTACAAGATGAAGAGTTTGCAGCAAATTCAAAAGGAACTGAGAGCTTTCAACCCCATTCAGCCTCACGAATTGGTCAGTTTTATCGGATTGCTATGTGCACGAGCGCTGTGCCCTCATCGAGAGAAACTGTCGAAGCATTGGGCCGTAGATGCCCAAGGTGCGGTTCCCAAAGGGACATTTGGACGATATATGTCAAGAAAGCGCTTCGAGGAGGTCATTCGCTATCTACATTTTAGCGACAACGAATCACCTGACGCTCTCCGTTACAAGACCTGGAAGACCAAGCCGATTGCTGACACAATAAATCAAACGTTCAAGCTGGGAATGACTGTTGGTCAGCGCATTGCGTTTGACGAAGGAATGATACCAATGAAGAGTAAGTACAACCCGATGCGCCAGTACCTCCGAGGAAAGCCCCATCCATGGGGTACGAAGTGCTTCATGTCGTGTGATGCTGATAGTGGTTACTGCTACAGGTATGATTTGTCAGAAGCCTGTACAATACAGGATAGTTATTGACATTCCTGTGCAATATCCTGTACAGGGCAGAAATTTATCAAGGACGGTTGGATAGTGATAGCGCAGACCTGAATCAAGGCCCCAATGCCGTTCTTCGCAATGTGGAAGACGTTCTCGACGGATTACCAAAGAAGAGGCTGATTATCACCGACCGCTTCTACTCGAGTGTGCTTTTGTCGTCCATCTTACTGAAACGCGGACTTTATCACGTTGGGACCATTCAAACCAATCGACGAGGATACTGCAAAACTATCCCGTACCGGCCGAAGACTATGAACCGAGGATCCTACCGTATCGCTCGGTCCAAGACAGACCCCAGAATGGTAGCTGTGTCCTGGATCAACAACCGCCCCGTACACTTCATTGCAACAGGTTGCAGTACTACTCCAACAACAATATCACGCCGAGCAGGAGCAGAGGTTGTCAGTGTCCCTGCACCCGAACTGGTAAAAACGTATCAAGACAGCATGGGAGGAGCAGACGTACATGACCAATTGCGCTTGCAAAGATATTCCATTCAGGTATTTGTCATTGTTTTCTTATCCTGTACTGTAGTTGGTATCTATAATCATACAATTTTTTATTCTGTATTGAACAGGGTGTTATGAAAATGAGGAAATATTACCACACCATTTTTTTGGGCTTGGTTGACATGGCGCTGATCAACGCATACATCATTTTCCGACGCGTCCAAGGCGAACGCAGAAGGGCGCTGCCAACCCACGCGGAGTTTATGCGTTTGATGCAGCAATCACTGCTAGGCGAAGGAGCCGCAGATTTTGAAGGAGACTTGTCCGTTGAGGCA